CTTGAGCGAACAGTTGATCAGAATATTTCCAATTGAAGATTATAATCTATTCTCGATGGTGATTGAAAAAAGGAATCGGTCCGATTTTGATATGGTTTATCTGAATGGGGTCAATTCTCGAGTCAGTTCGGCTGTGAGTTAGTAAATAAATTAAGGAAAAATTATTGAAATCACCTGCGAGATTAACTATTAACTATTTTACCCGTACGTTTTGAATTAATTTTAAGATGTCCATCAAAATACACATAATTTTGACTTGGAATAGGAGTAAAAAGATAAAATGTTAAAAACTAAGTGTCCCTCGAACCTAATCCGACTTGGGTCATTCCGAATGGACGAATAATCCATGGTCAGAAGCTTTTAGACAATTTTGCACCAATTTTTACTCCAACAAAAAGAATTAAAGAATCAAATTTTCATCTCAAAATCTTGACAGCCACTCACCAAACATGCATACCTACCGCTCATAGCCGCCTTGGGATAACGAACACTTCAGATGAACGGCCAAGATCTCACAAGAACACAAAAAAAATTAAATTAAATCCAATAATCAGCGATGACGTTATCATACCGAAGATCCGGGGCAGTAACGAAAAAATGGGAATAACATAACGCCGTTATCGTTATCGTTATCGTTTTCTAAAAGGACAAAAGGACGTCGAATGTGATGGAATATTCGATGTCAGTAATGGGACAAAGGCGTTAGTTCAGATGCCAAGGGCAAAGACGTCGACGTTACATAGAGACAATCCGTCACATCGGTGCTAATTATCAGCCATTAAAGAAAAGGGCAAGAAAAGAAAAAAGAAAAAAACGTAGAAACTGACGTCAGGATTTTGACGGGTGATTGACATGCGGTGGATACCCCTTTATCGCCCATGTTTACACATGGGAATGACGATAAAGGGCTTAAAGTTTTACCCAAATTACATGACACCATCTCCATCGTAGGAACGTACGAAGAAAATATAACGTTGGGGTCGATCCTCCACCCGCTGCGGCTGCATCTCCGTTGAGTTGTCAACATCTTAGATTAATTTATATAAATAAATAAATAAAACAAATTAAAATATATATATATATATATATATATATGGATAATTGAAACTTCAGATCCATATTGAAACCGCGCTGATCGACCAAAGTCCATCAAAACCAAACGGTCCTCTGAGTGAGAACTGTTTAATCATCATTTATTCAAATATAGGAGTGACTAAAAATCCAGATAAATATTTGTCCTTTAGTTGAACTCTTACTTAATATATTTAATATTTTTAGATACTAATTAAGCTTACCCATTATGCAGTAACATTTTTGTCGAGGGGTATTTTAAATAATTAAATATGGATAAAATTAAAATTCTTAACTGAAATAAGATTATTTATTAGATTTCATCATAACATCACCCACATAAAACGAATTGTTTTTTTTTTTATTTACAAAAAGTGCCATTATTAAAAAAATATATATATTTTTACCGAGGGGTATTTTAAATAATCAAGTAGGGATAAATTAAAATTCTTAACTGAAATAAAAATATTTATTACTTATAGTGGATGATGATTTCATCATATAACATCACCCACATAAATCAAATGTTTTTTTTTTTTAAAAAAAAAGTGTCATTATTAAAATATATATATTACAAAACAATGGTATGTGAGTGTCCAAAAAAAGTTAAATACATTAAAAGAATAGATTGCATAGAATGAGACCATTTACCTTTTTTACAGAGAGGACATAATTACTTACAAACATCCAATGTGAAATCTGATAGCTTAGGTGTGTCATAAAGTTCAAGAAAAATTCTTTTTAACTTTGAGCTTAGTCAGTGAAATAAATGCAGCCACCCAATTTGATATCCAATGGTCAAGATTAATTGTGACCACCTTGTACAAAAGGTAAATGATCTCATTATATACTGTAATTTAGAAGAATACTTTTATATAAGTACCCTAATCTAATCTAATATAAAATAGACGGAAGGACTTTTAAACATTAGATAATACTGAAAAAATGAATTAAACGTAAAAACAAAGAAAATAACTAGAATAGAGGGGCATTTTATTGGTGAACCAAGCAAAAACCGAGAACCAATTCTCGAACAGTATCAGACACTTCTCATTCTAAGTCATGATTTTTGAATTATTGGTTAAAACTTAAAAGCATCTCATTAATTTTGTTAAGGTGATGCGTAAGATTGAGTATATTTATACAATAATGGATTCACAATTTTTTTTAAGTTCACAATTTTTTTTAGCTGTTAGATTTTAAATCAGGCGGCTAAGGTTGTTATGCCACAAAGTTCTAGATAAACTTTTATGTACCTTGAGCTTTGTTTGTTGGCTGGCGCAAGCTTGGTGTCTACATTCCACATCTAAATTTTTAAGGTAAGCTCAAATTTAATTGTTTAGAACCTCGGCTCTATATAATAATATATACAATTTAAAAATAATTACGCTAAGCAATTCTCTCGTGCCTCTTCTTTGGCAAGGTTATTCCCCCAGCATTAGCTACTTTTTAAAGTTCTATTAGGTTCTCTCTAAATTTGTTTGATTCTTTAATTTATTTTCAATTCGCTACCGTAGATTTGCATTTCCACTAGCCCATTGATTTAGAAATCCAACGGTGATAAATTTTCAACAAGCGTTTGTTTTTTTTACACAAATTAAATTTTTTTTTTAGCAATGAGGAAGACAGACCCATACCTATTTTTTCAAATAAATTAAAAAATTAGTTTTTTTGAAAGTGTCACCAATTGAAAACTACAATGTGATAACGAAGTATGGGGGTGCTACCATCATGACCCAACCCCTTTCATTGTTTCACACAAACTTCGGCAGAACACATTTCAAATGGGAATTATGATCAAGGGTTTTAACTCATTTAAAAGTAGCCCAGCTTATATGAGTTCTATTTCAACTTAACATGGTAAGATGTCTGTGGGTTCTCACTTTTCGATGGACAATATCTTTCCACCCAATAAAATGACGGTCTGGATGAGCTAGGCTCATCTCAAAGGTGCAATTGTGGCATGGTAAGCTACTTCTAGATCTCTACCAATTTCTTTCATCTCTCTACCTTTGAGCTTTCTAAACCCAGTTAACTCGGTCGATTTAATCCATCTAACTTTAATCCAATATGTCGTTCATCCCCTTGTGGATAATATGAAATGTATAACACGATATGATTTATTTTTAATACAAAAAAACCGCATACGTTCGAAATTTTTTTTATTTTGATAAAAGTTGGAGAAATATTTTTTTGACTTAGCGATATGGTGGAGGGGCACACATCAAGCCATTTGATTATGCGCAGTTCGAGATGCCTACGGCATCTTTTATGGTATAGCATATGTTTTATACCAAAAATAAATGGTTTTATATTGAAATAATAACTATAGGAGCTTATTTTAGGTGATTGCAAAATACGTGTCCCATATGCAATTCGCTATCCAGATGGGTGGTGATGATGAACTGCAGCTCAAGGTGAAAGTTGTAAGTTCATCTCCCTCGTTTGTTATTGTTATAGACGGTGGATGTATGCGGTGGACCACAAATTGTATATCGTAATTTTATCCTCAATAAAATTGCAACAGGAAGCATATACTTTTTTTCCTCTTCACATTTATAAATAAAATATTTTTAAATAAAATAAATTTTATTTTCACACACCCGAGAAAGATCGGCTGAATTGATGAAAAATCAATGAAAAGGAAAATTAAGAAAATTGATGGGATTGGGGTAGAGGGAATCAGGACTTCCTACCACCGAATCTATTATGGATTGTCGGATTTTAAAACACCGTGACTTATGGATGAAATGGAAAATGAATTAAAAAATAAGAATGTATTTTTAGGTAATTAATAAAAAAGTAATGATCTTATAGGACTCTCCCCCACCTATGTATACGACCCCAAAGGATTACTATTAAAGTTGTTACAGATCTCTAAAAAGGTTACCACATGAATGTAGGACTTGACTTTTCTATAGATCCATGCTAAATTAAATGGTAATCCTTTGGGTCCTACACACATAGATGGGAGATGATCCTATAATATCATTTCTCTTAATAAAAATATCTAAAAAATAAAAAAGAGTTAGAGGACCTTTTTTCTAGGTATTGTTATTGTTGGGTAAACCAAAACACCATTAGATGGCTCGACCTGTTCAAACATTAACTTTCTTGTTATTTTGATCATTATTTACTTGTTTCTTCCCGCGATAAAAAATCAGAAAGAATTATTGTAAAAAATGCCTTTAGGTTTAGATTTATACCCAAATTTACACCAAATCAGTTTCAATACCCATTATCTTGTATTTGAATCACTGACTTGGATGGGAATCGGTTAAGATTGAACAAGTTCTAAGATGGTATAAATTTGGGCCCAGCTCCCCTACCACCCTACAAATAAATTTTTATTTTTTTGAATATTCTCTAATGTTTCTAAGTCAACTCTCAATTTTAATTTTAATTTTATGTTATTTTATTTTAAAATTTTTTTCTCGATCATTGATTCAAATTCGATCCAGATTACTGATCCAACAATCTAACACGAATATGTAAGTGAACAATCTGCCCCACCAATCCGAGTTATAAAACATTGCCCAACCTAATCCGAGTTTTAAAACCATTACACTGAAAGCTCGATTTATTTTTGAGTACCATAAAAAATTTCCTTGTTTTCTAATTTTAGTTTTCTGTTCCCTATTTTTCTGTATTTTTAGATGATCGTTTTTCTTGTTGCCGAGATGCCGGCTATTCAATGCAAATACTCGTTTTCTCGAGTAAAAATGATTTGTTATGCTTTAATAAAGTGTTAGGGATGTTGTTGTAAATACGGTGATATTCTGGTTATTTCGTTTTGTAATAAGCCGGCTACCATTTTACCCTGGAAGAGAGAGAAAGAAAGGGAGAGAAAACTAAAAGGCCGTGCTTCTCTCTCATGACCGTGTCAGAATAATAAAGTTTGTTTATTTCTTTCTCTCTCTTGCCCGTTTCTCACCGTACAAAGCTTTCCCAGAGGCGCCACCTTCTCTCTCCTGACCGTCTCTTATGGTAGGAAGTAGAAAAAAAGAAATGAAGCCCTAATTTGCAGGTGAGATTCTTTTCACTCTCTCTCTATCTCCTCTCCCCCTCTATCCATCTCCGCCTCTATCTCTTCCATCCATCTCCTCCCTTCTTTCTCTCTCCGGCCATCTCTGCAAAACTCTGAAATTTAAGATTTTTTCAAGATGATTTGTCTTGGGATGAGACCGAACTCTCAGATTGGGATCAACTTTCATGGATAGAAATTAATGGAGGAAGTTCGTTTTTATAAAGGATTTGTGGTCTGTGGAAAAAATAATGAAGGATTGGAGCTGTAAATTAGTGGACATATGGTAAAATTTCCAATTTGTTGATGAGAAGTCTCATGCTATGTGTATGTATATTTGTATGAAGATCAGTGGGTATTGCTTCTAGCTAGGTGTCCTGTAATATTTTATTGGAATGGTTTTTTGAGATAAATCTGTTACCTTTGGGTTAAAATTTGAAACTTTCTCATAAGAAAGGTTGTGGGATTTGATTTTTTATCAAAGAAAAAGGGTGGGATTTAATGCTGTTGAGGATTCAGAAGCTTTCAGGCAGTGACTTGTCCATTACAATGAGTTTCCAGGGAGATAATTTGATGTTTTGAAGTGAGGAAAACAGTAACTATTGCTTAAAAGCTTCAAAGGAAAGAGCCATAATTAGTCTTGAATTGGAATAGGTAACAACTGTTTATCTTTTCATAAAGCTTTTAAGATTATGATTAGTTTCATCAAAAAAAAAATTGAGTAGTACACAAGCCTGGAACTATATCGAAAGGTTGAAGTCTTAATGCAACGGAAATAGTGGAATGATTCTTCTGTTAAGGAGCAGTCCTTGTGCATTTTATGTGTTAATTATTTGTTATGTTAATTATTTGATGGTTTCATGATTGTGATCTGTTGTTCTATTTGATGCGTCAAGGCAAGTGTAAGATTAATGTATTATGGTCTGTTGCTCTTGTTTGAGTCACAAATAATTGGGGGATCATGGAAAGTGAGTGGCTTTTGAGAGTGGGGCAAGCCTTGGCTGAGATGCTTTAAAGCTTTCATGTAAATATTGTTTTCCCAATTGGATCAAGAATAAAGCTGCAAGGTCTCAAATTTTGCAAAAGAAAACATAGATGAATTTGGCATATCATTGAGTCAGCGGGTTGTTTCGAGAATTAAACATTGGTATCATTGCACAAGCTGAACGGATGTCTTTTAGGAGTATTATTCATGATAGGAGGGGGGAAAATGGCACTGTTACGAAGAAGGGGTTAGAAGTGAAGATGGGTTACATATTGAGATCACGATCGCATAGTGCAGTTAGTGATGGTGGCAGCAATGGAAATATTGACGCCCTTAAGCAGAGTTGTTGGGCAAATATGCCACCTGAGCTCTTGAGGGATGTGATATCGAGAGTGGAGATGGCAGAGGATGTGTGGCCACAGAGGAAAAACGTGGTTGCTTGTGGTGGGGTTTGCAGGAGTTGGAGAGATATCACAAAAGAGATCGTAAAGACACTTGAGCAGTCTGGCAAGATTACATTCCCCATTTCTTTGAAGCAGGTAAGAAGTTCTTCTATTATTTCCCTATAATATCTGATGGTATTGCAGCCATTGCTTTCCTTTCTTTGCTTTACTTTATTGTTGGGATTGATTCTGTTGTTGGTAGAACTTTTACTGGTGCTTCTCACTTCCTTGTTATCGACTATTGATTCTTGTATCTTAGGCTATTTTGGAATGGCCATTCATTTTGTGGAAGCACTAAAAAAAGGGTATCATGTATTGCGTTCAATTCTGGATGCTAGACTGGAACATGAGCTAAAACTGCCCACTAATTTGTTTTTTTTATGCGACAGAGCTTGTTATAACACAAAATGTAGTTTTACTGATTTCAGTCACTGTTTGAATCTCTTTGCAAGATTACTTAGTTTTCTGTGGTTTTCTCATGTTCTAGTGGAATACAGGAATAGGGTAATAGAAAATTCTTTCTTATATTAATTATATGATCACGAAGGATTAATTGTCATGCGATTATCATTTTCTGTAGTTTATTTTTCTTTTTTCTTGATAAGTTTTTTTGCTGTAGTTTCTACCTCTGAATGGATTTAGAGTTGTGTGACTTGGAGGATATATCGTATCCTGATATAAAGAATTATATCTGCCTATTATAATTGCCAAATGTTATCCAGTTTCCACTGATAATATATTAGGTCTACTTGACCAATACTCGCTGTGCCTTTGACTCACTCACTCTTTTCCACCAACTATATAGGTATGGCACTTCAGCTGCCAGCCTTTCCATCTACTTATGTTATTGAATCATTCCCTCTATGGTATACTCCTTGAATGCTTAAGCTGCTGCCATTTCCGAAGAGGTTTTCTGCCATGCATGAAGTTTTCTTTGGGCTCTTTGCCACTTCTATTGTGGAATGGAAGAGCCTTTCTCTATGTGATGTGTTTAGCATGATACTGACTGAGGTAGATGCCAAAGATGACTGCTTCACCACTGGTGATAGCTGAGCCAGCAGGCATATGGAAAAGTTGTATGCTGCCAACCGATGGATTTCACGTATTGGTTAACTTGATAGATGTGTTTTGATGTATCTAACTGGGCTTTGTCCTGTGGGAAGAAAACGATTTTGATTACGCCAATGAAACACTATAAGCGGCTGTTCACCTCTTGTTTCTGGCAGTCAATCATACTGCTTGTTCCTATCAGTTAGTATTTACCCTTGTTCTCTTGATGTCATTGAGATATTCTCTAGAGTTTGGGGCCCAAGGTTTTCTTAGGTTTTTTGTAGACATTGGAAACACACTTCTTCCTTTCCACATGCTTTTGGATGATGCTGTTGTGACGATCCCTCATTGCTCGCTCTCCTATCATGTTATCCATTGCCTATAGGACCAATGATCTCTCTTGCAGAGGCTTATAGGTTTGTTCTTTAGATTTAGGATTGATGGGAAAAGAGAAGGAAATAAATATTTGTCATGTGGCTATGGAGGCTAATCTGTTAACTAGCTAATGCTTGAGTTTGTCGGGAAATGTTGGGATCTGTCTGATCAAAAGAATTATTGTGGATACTCTAGTGGGATGTAACATTTTGCTGGACACCTCGTCCTTGTTTTAACTTATCTGCAGCCTCTGATGATAATTGAGATCATGAATATTCCTCGAAAAAAAAAGAAAAAAGTATCATACATTTTGTTGCATATTTTATTGTATTATAATTATTTTTTAATTGAAATTTTTTATGTACAATGTTTCTATGACGAAAATGCATTCATGTTTTCAAATTATGATAAAAGCTGATCTGCTTGCATGCTTTCAGTGTTATTTTTTTGGCATGCTTTACTGATCATTATGACAATGGTCTTATTTCGTTTTTACATGATTCACATATTTTGTTGTATCCAGTTGTTGTAAATGACTTCACGACCTAGCTTCCATTTAACTTTCATTTCTGTTTCAGATAGCAAGTTATTTCCTGTCCCCACTAATACTTTTCGGCTTGTTTGCAGCCGGGGCCAAGAGACTCACTCATGCAGTGTTACATAAAACGGAACCGAACAGCACAAACCTACCATCTTTACATGGGCTTAACTCAAAGTATGTTGCCTTAGTATTATTTTGTATATGCATACTTACATACTTTCCTTCACTTCCACAAATGGTGTTTGCATTTAGAAGGCATCATAGATTAGTGGTGTGGAGCTCATGATCTTCTTGATCATGAGGTTCAGATTGAGATCCACCATTTGGCTTATGGATCCTTTTAGAAAGAAAGGAAATATGGCTTACTGATATTGTGCTTATTTGATGATAAGCATGCTGGCTTGTTTACATAGCCAAAAAATAAAAGAAGATGCATACTGCTTGTTTATCTAGCCAAAAAAGAAAGAGAAGAAAACAACGTGCTTGCTTGTTTCTTAATTAGTGCCGGGAGCAGTTACTGTGCAGAGTTTCATCATTATTGGGGGACGTCAAGTAATTTATGTGATTGATGCGAATTTTCCCATTATTCATGTTTAGATCTCATAAATGCTTCCATAGTTTTATGTATATATTACATAGCTATGCTTGTGCTAAACACGGACATACATTCATCTTTTATATTCATAAAGTGATGCATGTGTGCATATTTTTATGTGCATGTCTGATTGCATCTGCATTTGATTATTTGTATTGACACAGGCAAATGCATGTTTGTACAGTAGCGTACATGTGTATCTTGGTATGTTATTATATTTATACATTTTTTTATGTGGACACGTGTTTTCATGTGTATCTGGATTTTATGGGCCAGCCAGCTTAGCTTCAGCATAGAACAGCCCAGATTTAGCAATCCGGACTGCCCACGTTCACTGATGGTGTGGGGTAATGTTTGTTTATATTTTTTGTTTTATGTATGAATATATAATATTTTTCTTGTACACCTAAGTTTTGCGCATCTCTCCACAAAATTTCAGCTCAAAAGGTTCTAATAGAAAAAAATAAAAAAAAATGAAAAGGTGCGCTTACATGCGGTCCATATCATAAGGCACATGCACCCACGCGTGTCTTACCAAACAGACACACACGTCCTACAATGCCAAAACTCGTCTTACAAAATGGACGCACATGCGTTTTCAATCTGTGGACTCACACGTCTATGTAGCAGACATGCCATGTCTGTGAATTAAAAAAAAAAAAGAAGGAAATTTATTGACATGCATGCCAAAATTTGTATTTATGCATGCCTTGCATGTTGACGTGTGTGCCTTGTGTGTGAGCATGGCCTATTGTCCTAAACACACATGGCAGCATGTCATTGCTATGTCTCGTATGTCCACCTGGTAGACATAACATGTCTGTGAATGAAAAAAATAAACATTTCCTGACCTGCATAACAACACGGTTTCCCATGACGGTATTCGTGCCTTGCACGTTGACACGCTTGTCTAGTGCGTTAGCTCATCATATTCTCCTAAAGACTCATGACATATATGTCGTTTGTTAAATAGTACATAACAATGCATGCATCTGTGTCCAATTTATTCATGTATTCATGGGTTCTGTAATGCTAGGAGTTGTGTATTGATACTTCATTATTTTACCTTTCCTTTTTGTTATTTTTCTTTATTGCTTTAGCTATCTGATTTTCTTCATGAATTATCTTTCTTATAGTGTAATGATACAACTCCTGCACACTGAAGCTAAATATAATTTTGCAGCACTGTCTGACAATGGCAAATTCCTTCTTGCTGCACGTAAATTTCGGCGTCCTACCTGTACTGATTATATCATTTCTCTAGATGCTGAGGATATGTCAAAAGGAAGTGGTACATACATTGGAAAATTGAGGTGAGTACTATGTGATAGAAGAATACCACTAATGTTTAATGTGTTCTCCTTTTACATGATTGTCCCTTGTATATGTTATTCTTGTTCCTTTTTCTCCTTTTTTCGTTCTCCTCTTTCTAGATTTACTTGATTTATTTAAGAACAAAAGTTACTGAAATTATCCTGAAATCTTTTGTAAACACTCTGGTATAAATGGTGGTTGTGATGCTCATGTTCCTCCATAGAGCGGGAGTAATTCAATATCCAATGTCCTTGTAGATGTGAAAATACGCTGAGATCCTCAAACCGCCCCCCAAAAAACCTGTCAAGTGAAAATACTTAGTTTTCCAATAAAAAGAAAATACTCTTTAGTGTGTCATAATTACTCTAAACATATGTGCCCTTATTTAAAGAGCGAATGCACTAACTGATTATAAAGTCACACAGAGCTGCCATTTACTGCAAAATTTGAAAGCTTGAGATTCTAAGATAGCTGGACTTTTGTCCTACAGGACGTTTTCCTATAGACAGTTGAAATACATGTTACATCAAGTTGCTTGAGCAAATGGTTCAGAAATTTGTTGTTTCAAAATTAATTTTCGTTGAATATCTTGAATTAACCACCTAGGCATAAATATATCCAAAATGATCAAGTATCTATGTAGTGATTTTCTCCGCAATTTGGATATCTTTCTCTTCTTGAAAATAAAGACAAAGACTCAAATTGTATCCTAAGTGAGCAGATTGGAAAAGTGGTTACATTTCATGTAAAATTTGAGTTTTAAACTATAAATGGGCAATCATAGGGGCACGGGGGATCTGCTGTATTTACTATGAAATGTTGTTTTTATTAATAAAACCATAAAGCTAGCTACTTTGAACAATATTGAAGGTAATATGCTGTTCTTTTAAGGAGCATTCTACTCTGTGGATAGGCCTGCTCTGAAAGATTTGCTTTATAGAATCATGCTATCTCATGTAGCCCAGAGGGTGTCACTCTTAAATATGCTTTAAGAGCTTAAGGAAGTATTACTTTGCTTATTCTTCGTATTGCATTTTCGTTTTGCATTGCATAAGAATGGAGGCAGCACCATGGCTCAAGTTCAGTCTGAAATGCTGTGGCTGCATTCCACAGTTTCACTTTGCTGGTAGTTTGGTATCTATCAGGCTTGAGCACCCGATATTATCTCTGTTTAGACTAATTCTATCTTTGATATTTTGGTCCTTGGTCGTGACACCCCTTTTCTTCCTGCTGTGATGTACACTCAAGGCCAACTTTAGTTTGATAATACTGATTTATTTATATTTATTTTTGATAAAGTCGACACATTTCAATTTCAATATCATGATGGTATTTGATGTGTATTAGAAACTACCTAGATACTGAAATGAAAATGTTATTTGAAAGATATGCATAGTTAAATCATGGATAGTGAAATAATCGCTGCTTTGTTTGTCAATATTGATTTCCTCAAATTGGTTGTATAGAAATTCTTAGAAATTGTTCAGATGAGAAATCAGATCATTGCACCAAATTGTCAATACCATGTTCTTTTAATCAAATATCAAATGAAGGGTACTTTAATGACCATTTGTTTACAATCGTGTTATACCTCTTATACCATACATCACTTAAAAGAGCTGTTATGTAAATTACCTACATACTTGTGTAAACTAATGTATACATTTCCTGTATACAATATCAGCATATGTTGTGTCACCTATCACGGCCTACTTCCCTCCATTAACAGTTTTCTCTTTGATGAGCAGATCAAACTTTCTAGGAACAAAGTTCACAGTCTATGATGGTCAGCCTCCTCATTCTGGAGCTGTGGCCTCAAAGAGCCGTTCAATCCGGCGAGTGGGCTTGAAGCAAGTATCCCCACGAGTCCCTGCTGGCAACTACACAGTCGCTCACATTGCCTATGAATTGAATGTCCTTGGTAACAGGTAACTTAACTGTCCACTAATTCATGAAGTTATTTATTTGGAAATTTGTGTTCTGTAATTGACATGGCACCAGCAACCCCATGATAGGAGTAACCACAATTATGTGCTATTTTTCTTTTGTATATGGGCCTGCAGATGTTTGTGCATTGCACAGATGGTAACACATAGGCATGTGTATTTTACATCTTGTGCTTCACACATGGTAACCAATTTCAGCCTGAGAATAGCCTGGCCAACATTCCGAAGCTTCAATACTATGTTCGTTTTGAATTCATACACCATCAGAAAATTATTCAAAAACAATAAATCCATTTCTTTTCCTTCTGAGACTTCTTTAAGTTCTCACAGGCTAGGTCAGTTACCCTCCAATAGCAGGGAGGTTCTATGCTTAGCTTATTCATTCAAAGATACTATTTTCCTACTGTGAAAATTTACCAACACTTTAATGGGTGGATTTCTGTGAGCGTCATATGGATATCACTATATTAACATGGACTCATTGAATTTGAAGCCACTCTTGTTTCTAGGGATTCTCCTGACATATGGTGATTCAGGTTCTTTGGTTTAATTGACTCTGCAGTGAGATCTGAAATTTCATTCATATTACTTGGTGTTCTACCAATTAGATACAACTCGTATTACATCTTTGATTACTATGTTAATTATGATTAGTTGGACTCATCCCTCCTGAACAGAAAGCATGTTACATTGTTTTTCCATCATCATCATCATCCGAGCTTATCCCAACTATTTGGGGTTGGCTACACGTATCCTTTTCCATATTACTGGAAAATTGTGAAATGATGCTGGTAGGCTGAGTTATGTTGAGCACTATGTATTTAGTTAGTGATGCTGGGAAACTCTCCACTTGTTTACTCTTAAGTGGTCTCTTTTAACTGTGGAAAAGAACCAAGATCATTCCCCAAAGCTTAAGAGCGAACTTTTGAATCTCTAGAGAGAGAGAGAGAGAGAGAGAGAGAGAGAGAGAGAGCATTGATACAATCTTGTGACTAACTGAATCCTACGTGCCAGGGGCCCAAGGAGAATGCATTGTGTTATGGATGCAATCCCAGCATCCTCACTCGAGCTAGGTGGTGTCGCCCCGACACAGTCCGAGTTTCCCTTGAGCACCCTGGACTCCTCATTCCAAGCCCTTCCCTTCTTCCGCTCCAAATCAGTGCGCTCCAACGCGTCATTCTCAGGTCCCCTTGATGGGGGACCCCAGAAAGATGGGATGCTTGTGTTGAGAAACAAGGCCCCGAGGTGGCATGATCAGCTTCAGTGTTGGTGCTTGAACTTTAGGGGCCGGGTTACCGTGGCTTCTGTGAAGAACTTTCAATTGGTTGCTGCTACTTCTTCTTCTTCTGAGAATGGAAATGGAAATGGAAATGGGAATACCAACTCCCATGACTCGGATACAGTGCTCTTGCAGTTCGGGAAGGTGGGGAAGGACATGTTCACCATGGATTTCCGGTATCCATTGTCGGCTTTCCAGGCATTTGCCATATGCCTTAGCAGCTTTGACACGAAGATAGCATGCGAATAAACAAATCAAGTGTAAAGAATAGGTATTTCTGTTTCAAAATGACTAACCACTATGTTCTCTCTATTCCGATGTGTGCTTTTACCTCAGCTTTTCTTGGGTGCATGCATGATATATGCCTTTTATATGATGTATGTTTTAGTTCAAAATGTTTCAATTCAATCCTTTCGAAAAATTCTTGCAAGGTTAGCTTTTCTGATTTAGTCCAATAGTGCAATGTCAACTGGAACTGAGGTTCCATTTGTCTGAATTGATTTCAATTTTATGATGGTCAAAATACAACTAACTTCCATTGTAACCCATTTTAGGCTGAAATTGTCCCTTTCCCAATGGTTTTGTTCCCCCACTGTTTCTCCCAAAATGAGTTGTCACGGAAAATACTTGGCATAATTTGACCCCAATTTTAACCTGAAGACCTGAAACACAGCCGCAAGTTTGGAAATATATTTGGCACATGTTATTCAAATTCCATTCAACCTAGGGCAGGTTTTTAATTCCATTTCTTTTGGTTCCAAGATGTTGGATTTTGCCTCAGATTTTCAAAGCAGTCTGGTGACAGTGGCTTACCTCATGGGCGGTCATGATATCTTTGAAAAGCACAAAGTTTACAGTGGCATACCCGTTGTTTGGGTAAAGCCTGTATTCGAATGTATGGTCGCAGTTATGTTTGAACAGCGACATCCATGCAAAGTGATTGCAAGTGCTTATATATCTATATAGTCACGTGACATCCAGAAAAATAAAAAGACAAAAAAAAAAAAACTCTACTTGTGCGCTCAGACCATTGTTTTTCTTTGATGAATGTGAAGCAGAGCAGTTTCTGCAAGAGATACCGGATAATGTGGCCGATGGCATGGCGATTGTTGTAGCTCGATCCTGTTTTCATCGGATGATTATTGCTGGTCTTCAGATGATGTATTCTAGTCTGGTGTACATATTTTTCAACAATCGCAGCCTTGTGGATTGATAAGGCCAGATTCTTAATTTATTCACCCGTGCCTCTCTTTCTCTCTCTCTCTCTCTCTCAATTCCTCTTTCTGTGATTTGAGATTTTTTTTTTGCTTGGTATGGTTTGGCATCTAGAGATTGGAAAACAATGTTGTTATTATTATTATCTATATGGTAATTCAATGCTGCATACAAGTACAAACATATGCTAAGATGAAGAAAGCCAATGTGATGATGTTCATATTCACATGGTACGGGCTGTCTCTTGCGGTAAGTCAAACCAGTGTTCTCTCTCTCTCTGGCACAGAAGTTTTGGTTAGTAAGCTGGCTTGTTTGAGATCTTATTTGAATCGTAGATGTGTTTGGTGATTCCTTTGTCTTACTAATCCTCATTTTTGTTTATGTTTTTGTTCATTCTCCATGAAAAACTTCTGTAATCTTCATTTCTGTTTGGTGTTGTTTGCTTTTCTTTGCTATTCTTTTCCTTTTGCTTGTCTATCTTGATTTGCACTTTTGTTCGAGTCTAATTGCGTTTTATGTTACTGCTTCTAGCTGTGGAATGTATCTTGCACACACCTTTAAAAAGTCGGTGATCTGGATCGGAACCAGCCTATTCGGATCGGGAGTTAGTCTAGCCGTTTTGGATCCCATAAAATGTTGGGAACCAGCCGGTTTCCCCTACTAATCGGCCGGTCCCCCACTAATCGGCTGGTTCTGACTGGTTCTTTGACAGTTAGATTGGTTCTATAAGAGAACAAGTCATACTTGGCCCTGCTTATTTTTTTATTTTATTTTGTTATTTTATTATGGGAATTGACTGGTTTGTATCGGTTCTTGCTAGTTTGGACTTGTGACAGAACTGGCTGATTTTGTTGAATTGGCTAGGGCGAACCTTAATTTTTTTTTAAATTTCTGATTGGTCAACTGGATTGTCGATCTACCGAACCGAATTAGAAATCTCAAGGGGCAATCCGGTTACCAATCCATTTTTTAAAACCTTGATTCATACGCAAGACCGAAAACTTCTTGTATGGGAGATCATTTGGGGGTAAATATTATATATTCACATGGGACCTATGTGCGATTGGTGGTTCAGGGTATCCAACCTTCTTGCCATGCGCACGTTAACTCGGCCTTTCAATTTGACATTGGGGTGTTTTGAGGAACTCTTTTATTGGTCCTCTATGTACAGCCATCCGATCTTGAATTGGTAGGCTACTAGCCAACAGCCGTAATGTCATAGATTATAGTGCCAGTCGTGACATTATTACCATCAAAGCAGATTAATCAAAACGCCGCTTGTGTCATTGTAATTGGTTCATTGAAAGTCCTACATTTAAAAGGGAAAACTTTTTATTAGTAGCAACCAATTGAATACGGTCCTACATTTAAAAAAGGAAAACTTTTTATTTGTCACTACCGGCTATTTGATTTGAGTGGATGGTTAAGATAGCTTCTATCTTAATGTCACAAGCGATTTGATCTAAATTGTCTTATAATATTTTATTTTTAAATTTTTACCAATATTGTATACCAAAAAATTGTAATTTGCTTTTTTAAGAAGTTAATAAACAGTCATTTTATTTTATCATGAATATCTTTTTTATATTTAACTTTGACCATGTAAGAGGATGGATCACCCCAAAATTTGGTGCCAACATAATTTGTAGAAAAAATAAAAAATAAAAAATAAAATAGTATTTAAGTGTGATATTGTAATTGAGGTCATTTCAGCCATCCATTTAGATAGGATAGTTTGAAATATATAATTTTTTGATAAATTCGCAATATACTTATGATTGTGTGTTATATATTTAAAATATATTTGTTCGAGTAATTTTTTTTTTTTTAAATTGTCAGGTTCTAGATCCGGATCAAAACTTTGGAACGAGTTGGTTCCGGGTCGGGTCTAGGTCCAGGCCGACCTGGATCCGAGCCAAGCCATTGCACCTAAGTTTAGGTGGAATATTATTGAGAAAGTGGCAGAAATACTTTTGATATAACCTTATTCATTTAATATAAAATTTTGGGTTAAAGTTAAAACAAACCGCAGAAGAACAGAACAAATATGCAGCACCAAATGAGGAAATGTGTGCATATGTCTGACTTTTCCATAACCAAATATTACACTAAAATCATTCCCAAAACACAAGATGGGAATCACCAAATAAACCAAAATTGAATCACAAAGGATGGGGACATGTTCTCTCAGAAGGTTGAAAAGTTATTGTCAACTACTTCAAAATTCATAATTACTAACTGCTGAGGTTAGTCATTGAAACCTCAAAAGTAATTTTTGTCTTATTTCAAGATAAATTTGATCCTGTAATGATTCTATCCTCATGAACCATAGGCGGTTGCCTAGGCAATGCGTGACTCGATGAATCACTTCCCAACATGGCAAGCACTGCAGAAATGGAAGGCCTATCTGCTTCTTCTGCTTGAACACAAAGAAGCGCAATGTGAATGCATGTCAACACTTGGTTTCTTGAGTAAATCTCACCAAGAGATGGATCCATCAACTCCAGGACATTTCCTTGACTCCACAACCGCCACGCCTATTCTATTGGAGCCCGTTAGTGCTCTTGAACTAATGTATGCGCAAAAAGAAAAAGACGTTAGGAAACAGGGATAGTGCAGAAGAGAAGATTGTATTGATGAGTCCTTGACTTAGATCTAATGCTTGAACCTCATTGTTCATCCTCCCACTAACAATTTCCAGTAGCAAAACACCAAAACTGTAGATATCTGATTTTGTTGAGAGGTGCCAGCGCCCTATGAAGTACTCAGGAGGCATGCAGCAACTGAAAATGGACACAACTTAAATATGCAAGTAGCCCTCAACAACGAGTGCTTTGATATTGCTTTGCTACCGCTGGCAAAGCAAGAGCAAAAAGTCAGCAAGTGTAGGCTTGAAAGCCAAGAAAACTCAGAAAAAATCACTCGTCTGTCTTGCCATGTTACATGAACTCGTATGAGCTAACATACTACTATAAACCAGTCACATCAGAATGACACACTATGCATAACAAAAAGGAAAATTATTGAAGAAATGTTACTAGACTTGACACACTGCTCCCAACCTCTTTATATTTCTCTTGCAAAACTTCAGGATAGTTATCTGTGTGCCTCTGCACACAAATCTGTGTGCAGCATGGCCATGGTTTGGCAACATTTTATTTGTTCTCTTGAGATTATATATTTTGAATACACGCACACAAAAACAAAAAATCAAAATCAATTAATCAATAAAGAAAACTGAATCATAAGTAATCCAGTTAGCAAAAGTATCCCATAACTATCTTATTAAACATAACAATCTTATTAAACATAACATTGACAATAAAGGTAACTTTATTGATAAAAAACAAAAGACTAATATATTCTATTGATTCTTTTGTTGAGAATCCATTGAACTTGTTTTAAAGGATGGGACATAAGAAAGATTGGTAACTTTAAATTTATTCCATAGGGTAATGTGTATGACAATATTCATTTTATAAATTTCAAAGGTTTCATATTTTTTTAATATTAAAATTTTTATAATTTTGTACAAGTCTTTTTCTTGAGTAATTGTGCATAAGCTTCGAGTCCATGTTCTGTTTCACCATGCCTGACACATTAGGCAAATTCCTGAAATTGACACTGGTGCTGGCACGTGTAATCTAGAAGATAACCTGAAACTATGCTGGATTCAGTTATTGGGCTTTGTTGTTGACCGTAAAACCCAATACTTGACCACTCACGAAATAAAAAGGTAAATAGAATAGGATATATCAAGATTTCCATTACTACACTGATACATACAGTTAACCTAGGAAGGGGATAATGCGGCAAGTAGAGAAAAGTTAGTGGAGGACTGAATTACTTACTATGTTCGAACAGCATTGATAGGGTCAACCTTGGTTTCATCAACTTCAAAAAGTTGGACAGTTCCAAAGTCGAGAGTTTAGGATTTGAATCATTATCCAACAATATGTTGCTTGCTTTAAGATCACGATGAATAATTCTTATTTGAGAGTCTTCATGGAGATAGAGAAGTCCCTTTACAATCCCCTCTATGATATTGAGCGGTTGATCCAGTCTAGTTGTTTGCGCTTTTGAGGATCTGATCACCATTTCATGAGAGTAAGCAAGTTAGAATCCATGCTCTGAAGTCTGAACTTGCGTACTCTCTCTCATACATAAACTGAAGTTGTGTACTCTCTCTCTCTCATGCATATACAATCAATGGAAAGAAAGAATGCAAATCAAATAAAACAGTGTCAAGGCTCCTGTTGGGCATGTACTCATAAACTATAAGCTTTTCTTCTCTCTCAAAACAGCAGTGCAGGATCTTCACAAGATTTAGATGTTGGAGTTTGGCGATCAAGGTGAATTCAATCTTGAACGCCTTTACTCCCACTCTCGAAATCCCTGAAAGTCGTTTTACTGGAATCATTCGCCTATCATTCAACTTCTCCTGTAAATTTTTTTCTCATTGTTGCTATTTCGAAGCATCTGTAACCAGATACACAAAGGATTTCAAAGAACAGAATTACCCTATTTACAGAACCTTGCCCTCCTTCTCCAAGCTTATTTTCTTCAGAAAAGTTGCTGGTGGCAACTAAAATGGTATCTAAGTAGAAAACTGTTGGCCTAGTTTCATCTCGTTGCACCCCATTATTTGATCTCTCTGTCAAATTTGAAAATGTTACATGTTTATCGTGGTTCCTTCCTATCAAATACGACAACAGGAGACTAAAAACGAATGAAATATTTCGTAACTGTTAAAAGGTTCCACTCATCTGACATTAACTTAAGTTTTAAGAGTGAAAATCCCATTGAATGAACTCCTACATGTATCATTTTACCTTTTTGTTTGGTTGTTTTTTTTGGCAGACGGGACCTGCATGTGCCAACAACATTTAGGAAGTACTGCAAAGATAACAATGACCTCAAATGTGGGTGATTTCCCTTTTCAACTGCATCGACATGTAAAACCAAACCATCTCACATTTCACTTGTTTAATATGCATCACATCATGAAAAATGAGCTACACAAAAATCTCAGTAGCAAAGTAAAATTGACATATATTCGTGAACATCCACTCAGGAATCAGAATGGTATTAGCAAAAATATTGTAGGTAAATATAGCCACTGATGGCAGTAGATAATTCTGACTGTTCTAATGTATTGCTCAAGAGGGGATGCTTCTTTTTTGGCTTAAAGAAAAAAAAAAAAAACAAAAGAACAAACTCGGAGTTGTTAGATGAACACATTCCATATCTGTTATAACAAACAATTAAACAGCACCAGAAATCTGGACGTGTAGCAAAGCCGAACCAGAAAAGCGAAACATATATATTTTTCATTTCAGCAGGTTCTCATTATTTTCTTGTACAATTCCTTCTCTACATTTTCTCTGCTATCTTTTTATTTCCTACGGGTCACCCTGATGTGCCATGTTGGGATGCCAAAAATAATCTGCAACCCCAAAACCAGGGGAGATATTTGATTTCCATGCTCAAACGAACTCACTCGTGTGGTTCAAATGCGGCCTAAGCGGAAGTACCTGTAATTGTAATGCTAGATGGTCCATCAAGAAGCTTATAAGGTCTGCTGCACGATTCACACAAATTAAAGTTCGAAAGTGCCTTCCACTTTCAAACTTTGGCGAATTGGATCCAAGGACCAGGAAGAAGTCTGCTTTAAAAAGTGAACTTTTTTTTCTCATATCTATGTTCTTAACAAACTTATGTATTTTTTATTTGATCATGGCACTATTGCTAGTTCATCTTAGAAATTTAAGGTCATTTGATCATATTAATGGTGGACAGTGGAGCTTAACCGTTCTTTTGCCATTGTGTTCCCATCTAAGGGACCATTCATCTTCAGAATAAACCATGGATTTCGGGGATTATGTAGTGTGTTTTGTATACAACGTCTAGCAACTCATACTGTGCCAATAATGGGGTTGGGGTTGTGGTGGTAGCACCACCTGTACCCCAGCTAAGATCTTTCAGCTCATTGTCAGATCCCGCCACGTCCCTATTTGACATGGATTCGTCAGGCGTATCTTGTCTCTTCCCGACACACACAATTCGGACCGATACTATGGACCATCCATCCTTAGTAGTAGTTGAATGGCGCAGCGTTTCCAAACTTGCGAGTTGACTTGACGGAATTTGGGCATGGGCAAAGGGCAAGGTCTCTCATCAAGATTGGAGCTTGAGCTCGTATCGATATCTCATCGTGCTCATATGTAAGGGTGGAGTCGACACTACAGGGAACGAGATGACTACAGCAAGCAAGAGTGGTAGTTTAGGAACTAATCCAGCTAAAGCTCATGAAATTCCAAATTCGGGCTCTCCTCAACATAGGTATCGGTGCTTCCATTGGAGCATGCATTCAAAAAGCACAAATGATTTAAAAAATGGGTAGGGATTCGTCATCCCCATTTAATTTTCCCAAAAAAAAAAAAATCAACCAATCCCCTGGAATATTTTCCTTTTTATATCAAAATTGCAAAACAAATCACGAGAAATTTGTAAAAAATAAAAAACAGCAAAAGGCTAAAGAATTTATAAAAAAAATTAAAAGTATAAAAAAATAAGAATAATTTATGTTGAATAGGGAAAGTGGAAAAAATCCATTTATAGCTTGGAACAACTTAGAAAAATCCAAAAAAAGAAAAAGAGAATATCATGAGAAAATTCACCCATCATCACAAAAAGTTTGAGGTGTGCCGTACCTATACATTATAACATTGATACCGTATATAAACTTTTTTCATTTATTAGTCATTGGTAAAAAAATTAGTTTTTAAGGCCTTTCCAATAATATGTAGTGTACCAATATCCTAGCGGTAGCGGTGTCAAGCTGAGTTACTCTGTCGAGTCCGAGTCGACAAACTAATATTCAAGTCTGCTGACTGACTAATGTTCATCTCTGTCGAGTCTGAGTCGACCAACTACTATTCCACCAATGAGAATTGTTTTGAGCAGCAGTTCATCAGGATGGATGGCCTGATCAGTGCTTGCAATCAAATTGTCTGAACGCGCTTATAACTCTATTTCCCTATTTAAAGATTTTCAATCCCATCCAAGCCATTTTATGCTACAGCGTATATACAATGCTCGCGCCGGATCAACAGTGTATATCTATTCCCTCGGATATTTTCGATCTAAAATTTTAGGAACCCTCATCACTCGCTAGTCACTAGATAACCATTCTTAAAATTAAAAATTTGAATTTTTAGTTTTCTAATACTTGGATTACGCCATCTAAATATTGGACGATCTCTGTTTAATCTTGAGAAGTTATTTTTTTAATTGAGGTTAATCTATCGGTTAAGGATATACATCTTCAAAATTTAGGGTCCTACCAAAAATTATACGAGAGAGTAAATATACAATATGCTCGTATGGGAACATAATGTCTTTTGGCTTTATATTGTATGAATACAGTGAATGGTCCCTCCCAGTTTCTTCGCTCTGGAAAGCAGGGAGGAGCTTCCCACGATTATGGAGTCAAAGCTGGTCATTCACACGCATTTATATAAGAAGGGATTAATTTGATTCAATATACCGTACTATCTTTTGATTTCTTTTGGAAATATAAATTACAAATATTTGACCTATATTTTTTTATTTAATTTTGAAGTAAAAAAATTTACATATAAGATGGCAACTTGCATCCTTACAATTAAGATTAAGGTGCACATAAAAAACAATCCATCACAAAAAATGTTGTTTTGATATTGGGAAATACTCTAATTGATCATTTCGATTGGTGGTTCGGTCAAAAACGGTTATAACTAGTTGGACTAAATTTAAAAAAAAGGAAAAAAAATAGATATAATATTTTTAAAAATATAAGATATATTAAAATATTTTTCAACTTTATTTGGTCGAACAACTAACTGATTTATCTGGCAAATATTGATCAAACATTAGTTTCATACCAAACTCAATTTCTACCTTATAGTAGGACCGTCAAGGCACCGGTAAGTGGTTCGATCGTTTAGACCATCAGTTCAATCCGATCTTGATAACTATAATTTCGACATCTCGATATGAAAAGAAAAAAATTTGAATCTCAAAAATAATACATCTTGCAACATAATACATGGACCGTCCATTTTCAAAAATTTTATGTGTTTATAGATCTACCTGATTTGAATTATTTTTTGAGTTTAAATTCTCAATAACTAGAAATGAAAATAGATTCGTAGGCTATCTTAAGCATTTTTGACGCCAAAATTAAATCGTTATGCAAACTACACCCATAAAAAAAGGTACATGATCATGAGTTGGAATAATTAAATTCACTAAAATATATAATAGTGCCCTTAAAATAAATAAGTCTAAAATGAAATACAAAATGTTGTTTTTAATATTTAAAATTTCAATATTTAAATTTTCAAATGGAAAAAAGTTTATATAAGAAGTCCTAAAGCACACTCTAAAAGTCAAGTATGGAAAAACTCCATCATCTCAACTTGAACATTTAAGGTGGTAAAAAAAAATTGGATCTCAACTTGAACATTAAGGTCGTAAGAAAAAAAAAAAAATCTCAAGCTCTAAAAATATAGGGTATATTATAACAACTTATCTAGAACGATTTTTTTTGCCTTAAAAATAAATGTTCACAAATCCGCAAGATACCATTTTTTTGAGTTTCAAATTTTATTGTTGTTGGAAATTGATTTTAGAGCCATGTGTTCGTGAAATCACAGGTTGAGTTTCTCTACAAGTCTTGATAATCTTGAACATTTATAATCATGCTGTAGTAAGCAGGATGGGTACTAAAAATGGAGGTTCAGCAAAAATTGTACATAAACCAATATCCATTAGATTTGTTTGGGATAAAGAGGACAATCTACCTCAAATCCCAATTTCCACCCCACATGGGCTTGGAACTTAAACATCTTGAAAGCGTGACTCTTGACTCCTAATAAATAAATATAATACATAAAATTTTGTTAGGCTATAACCTAAGGAGAAAAAAATATCTTCCCCATATTTCACACTATAACATAGCAAGGACAAATCTCCTCCTAATACTATTTACACCAAGAGATGAACTTCGTATACAACAGCATCTCCTAAAAAATACTTAAAGAGGGACAATATCTCATGCCTGCAACTGAAGAGTCTTCTCCTTTGATTCATGGGATACAGAGACCCCACCAAAAGTTTGTGCACCCTTCGATCCCACTGCAACATCATCTGAATCTTTTTCTGGCATCTCTAGATGCCATATGAAATCAGTAAACAAAGGCCAATGCTCAGGAGAAAAGAAATCGGCCCCCATCCTCATATATGTAAACCCTGCTAAGCCCATCTCCAAATTCTTCTTAATCTTAGCAAACCCACCAGAATTCCCCTTTAGTTGTGAATTCTCACCGGAAACCGATACCCCATGTGCATCACAAGCCTCCTTTACCCTCTTAACAATGGAGTCTGATAAATCCATGCTAGGTAAAACTACTCCAGCTGAATTCTCAGCAAACATTTTCATAACATCACTGTAACCATCTCTTTCACTTGTCTCATAAAACCCGCTAGTAAGCTCAGCTGCATGAGATCTAGTATTGCACCATTGGTGAACGGTAGGGATCTTACCCGAAATTCGCACTGGAAAAGAATTTCCCGGCAAGTTTCTGAAGATTCCAGCAGCTTTTGAGAGCATCCGATTTCCATGAGATATGAGGCAATTAGAGTACCAAGAGAGGAAGAAGTTACCATAGGGAGTCTCCCAGGACCCATTGTATTGCCGGAAAAAGTTGCTGGAATCAGGCGAGCTGTCATAAGGTGGGGCATCATGGGGTCCAGAATAGCCCCACTGATGGTGCCCTAGAGTTCGAGCGTGTTGTTGGAGGTTGGCGAGCATGTGCTTGTCATAGCATTGGAATTCTCCAACACCAGTGGAATTAGGGTTTTCAGGTAAAGATGGGTAGCGGAGTTCGCCATTTGGGCCGAGACCAATTGTTAATTCCTGTACATATCAGACAGTGAAAGTCAGATTCATGGTGGTTTAGAGAATATGATGGGAATTAAGCCTCAACATTTATGAAAATCACAATAGAGTACTCAGGATTCATCATGATATAAAAAAATTCAGCTGGTTTTTGTATTGCATTTGGGGGAGAATGGACTTTGCAACGAAATTATGTGTATCAAACAGTGATCAAAATTTAGCAAACTTGGGCACGATTTCAAGTTGAAGTTTGAGAAGGAAAGCATCCATGATTCAATAAACAAAAGTACATAGCCAGATGGATCCAAATTTATGATTCCTCAATCAAGATTCACCCAAAAATCATCCATCAAACGTTACTGGAAGTATTACTCATAACTACCAGCTGATTTTGGGTGATATCATAAATTTATAGAGTTATGCTCCCCAAACAAAAAACAGGGGGGCTTTCAGAACAAAGGAACAAAAGACAGGCTTAAAATGTTCACACAAGCAAACAGCCATATATTTATATCCTCATGCCATGATGCATTCTTGTGAGAGTAAAACATAGAACCATATTGCTTACCGTGATTGTGGAGCCCAAGAAATTTGAAAATTCAGATTTGAAGCTTTCCATAAAATCCCCATATGCTTGCAATGGGGACTTCCCAGAAAGCAAAGCAAGCTCATCAGTCCCCAAAGACAAGCAATCTCTGAACCTCTTCCCTCCCCTGTCCGTGAAAAATATATCTGGGTTTTCTTCACCAACCTTCAAAACCCACTTTGGTAGAGTGATTCCCCTTGCTGTTGATCCGTGGAAATTGAACGCGACATTGAGCTTCAACCCGGCTTCTCTCACCATTTCAGCCACTTCCAAATGAGACGACCAGTCATAACTTCCTGCTGTTTCTCCCTCTACAATTCCCCACCAAATTGGAAAACTAACGCCTTCTACACCAAGAAGTTTTAGAGGTCTTAATCCCGCTGCTATTGCCTTGGCATGGTTTAGGGCGTTACATGCTGATATGGTGTCCAGGGGGAGGCCGACAAATAATGGAAGCCGATTCTACATAAGCAAAAACTGGGGTTAGGCATGAACAAAATAAATTGAGATTTTCCAATAAAACTTCCATCTTTTCATCTTTTCACAATTCTAGGAAACTGAATAATTACTTCACAGCGGTTCTACAAAGTTGGAGTTGGCTGGAATTTCAAGAACCCAAGTTTCATTTTTTCCCCCGTTTTTTAGAGAATCAAGTGATTATTTGATAAAATTTCTCTAAACTTTAGCTATGTTTACATGAAAAACTCAGAAATTATGCTATTTCAAACCTGATATGAGATGAAACTATTCTTATCATCTGTTCTCAAATAAGTATCCAAGTTTTTATTTATTTTTTACATCAAAAAAATTTCATTTTGATTTCTTACTTAAAACAAATCAGAAAATCCAGCCTAAAACATCGGCTGATTCACCTACAAAACCATATTTTTTAAACTGCCATCAAATTCCAGTTGAAATCCGGGTCTTTGGCCAATATATAAACAGAAATCAGATAAAAATATAAAGGAACTGAATACATAAAAGCTACATCCACGACTAAAAAATTCAAAAAATTAAATAAGGAGTACTTACTGTTTTGTCATGCGACATTTTCAAGCAACCTTCACGGACAATACATTTTTCAGGTGTAATCTCCTTCAAAGAAACCCTAATTGCTCCCCTTCTCCATTTACTCCTGAGATTAACCTTTATTTGATCCCGTTTGTTGCAGATCCTCTCATGACCACAACAAGGAAGCCTCTGAAACCCTAGATCTACCCTCTCGGCATTCATTTGAGAACAACCAACCATTGACATCTCCATTTTTCGAGATTAATAGGGATATGAAGACTTCCACAAAACAAAGCCACACAAGAATGGCTAAAAATAGGGGGGAATTTTACAAAATGATTTAAATTGAAGGGTTAATAAAACAGTGTTCACTAACCACCAGAGATTTCAATGAAAAGTAATAAGTACCTAATATTTCAGGAAAAGAAAATCGAAGACAATATCTCTTCTGAGATCGATAACACTAACGATTAAAAAACAGAACAATATTACTGGAAAAACATTTTGGAATGATGCAAAAAAATCACAAATATGATACAGGAAGATAAAATTACAGATGGTGCACTAAAAATCGTAAAAAAAGAAACCGACCAACAAAAAGTAAACAGTGTAAGGATTAATAGAGAAAAACGCAGTTTATGATCTGGAAACTAAATTCCAGAGTTTAATTCCTCAAATTATCGTGAAAAATACACAATAAAAAGATCTAACAGAGAAGATTAGTAAAGGGCTTATTGACCCCCCAAAACCAAAACAGCAGGAGAAATTAAAAGCAAGAAGATAAGACTGACTTCAACTCCTCTCGCCCACTTTTGTCCTTTTAAGGCTCTCATAAATCTCTTATTTATAGCCCATTTTGTAGGAGACCTTGACAATGACGAAAACATTCCTAACAATTTTCTAAATCTCCAAGACACCCTCATATACTCCTACACCGAATGATCATATATGCCCCTCATTTATCGGATACTCCTACTATTTGATTTTTGGTTTGGACTGTAGGCTCATTTTAAATAAGGAAATTTATCAAAATATATTTTACATTTTAAAAAACTAATGTTTACTTCTTTTCAACTATTGCAACTCATCGTCAGTATATTCTAATGTCTATTTTGAGATTATATCAAGAGACATTGCTAAAGTATTTAATAGTTGATCTCTTTTGTGTGTTTCAATAATTTTTCCTTTCAATAGCGTGTTGGGATATAATAACGTAGACTACTAAAAAATTTAGGACATTTTCCGCCCTTATCTAGCTACCAGAATGTATCTCATAAAGCTTGATTTCGATTGACAATATTTTGATCTAGTTGAATTTTTAGGTAAACTTAATTTTGAAAATATCAAATACATGTAATTTATGTTTATAACTTAGGGAAGGCCACTAGTGAAAAAAGCTGATTTGTTTTGGACTATCAATATTAATGGGAAGTTCAATGCAAAAATATAGTTCTTTTATTGCTCATTTTCTACTATGATACTTTTGTGAGATGTTTTGTAAGGGAAAAAAAATGGATACATTTAACAAATTTTTTGTTCTCGTTCTCTCTTTGTTTCTTTCTATAATGGAGGATAATTTGGTCACCGTCTAAATATAGGGCACCTTTGATATTTCTGAAGCGTTTCAGACCTCAAGTAAACAAAAGGGTAATTTTGTCAAATTTCCCTTGAGAAAAGTATAGGGAAGCTAGGTGGCTCCACGTCAGAGCTGTCGTCTCAGCCTCAGAAACAACTGGGAATTGTTTCGTCTTCTTTGACGTTGACAGTGAGCGGTTTTTCTTGAATGGATGACGTGACGTGGCATTCGCTCGATGACGTGGAAAGCCAAACTACATCGTGCCGACGTTGGAAAAAATTTGTGGTGAGAATAATTTCTAAACTTATGAAAAAAAAAAAATTTAATTTTCATAAACCTTACCGATCTGTTTAGAAAAAAACATTTAACTTTTATAAACCTCACCTACACCACCACCAGTCTATTTTGAAAAAAAACCTTTAACTTCCATTAACCTCACTCACACCAATCTTTTTTTTTTCAATTTTGAGGGTTTTTTTTTACCAAAATTAAAAAAAATCTTAACGCCATAGTATTTTAAGCAGTGTAAAAACACTAACAATCTTATACGGCACTATAAATGTCGTAAACCCTTTTCTCCTATTTATATTTATCTCTTTTAGCTTGTTTATATTTATCTTTTTTATCTATTTAATTTTTTTTATGATTATCTCTTCTTTTTCTCTTTCATTCTTTTTAATATTTATCTCTTCTTTCTCTCTAATCTTTTTTATCTCTTATTTCTCTATCTAACTCTCTTTTTCTCTCGAAGGAGATTTGTATAACAACATGTGTATACCGTACCATCCTTATAAAAACGGCCTTCAACCCCATCCCGTATGAAAGTAGGACAGAGTCAGATTTGTATCACGTTGGAATCTTGTTTGTTGAGTTGATGAAGTAAGTAGGGAGAGTTAGTGAGAGAAAGAAGAGAAAAGAAATTAGAGAGAAAAAAAAGAAGATTTGTATCACATTGGAATTGTGTTTGTTGAGTTGATGAAGTAAGTAGAAAGAGAAAGAGATTAGTGAGAGAAAAGATTTAGAGAGAGAGAAGAAATAAAGAAAAGATAAAAAAATTAGAAAGAAAGAAGAGATAAACATAAAAAAAACTAGAGAGATAAAAGAGATAAATATGAACATGAGAAAATGGTTTAAGATATTTTGAGTGCTGTATAACATGGGTTAGTTTTTACGATACTTAAAATCTCATATAGCATGAGTTAGTTTTTACGGTGTGGGCGAGCTTTATGAAAGTTAAAAGTTTTTTTTTCTAAATAGATAAAAATTAAGATATATTTGTAATAATTTTCCTTAAAAAAAAATTATCCTATACATTTTTTTTTAACGATGTTACTACTCTTTATTTTTGACAATAATGTTACTAATTCTTATCGATCAAATGTGTTTACAATGGAATCAAATAAACCACACTTGCCTGATAAAGAAATACCACACTTAGGCCGTTTACCACCTCATTTGCTTCTCTATAAATATAAAAAATGTCACCTGGACGCGACCTACATCTAAGTATAACATATCTCAGGGTCAATAGCGGTCTAAACTTTTTATTGCACCCGCTAATAACATCGAGTGAAACCCCTTACACTATTCAATATCTACCATTGTGCTTTTGCTTCAAATTATTTAATCCTAGTAAGAGAGCAGCATAAAACTCTGCTTCATTCGCTATATCATTTCCACATAAACCAAAATAACATAATAATACTGTACTTTTGAATTCTTTGCCACGCCTCTTAGTCTTGGGTTTTCAATTTAAAAAACAGTAAAAATGCGACAGGGAGTTTGGGGAGAGGTTAAAACTGTACTGATTTTTTTTTAGAATCGATTTGATCCCGACCAATTAACAGTTAAGATTGATTGTTCCCACGGGGTTTTAAAACGGCCCCGCACGAGCTAACATTGGTGATTTGCTAAAACAATTTGGGCCCAGTGTCTTTTATTTTTTAGGAGCTGGTCAAATTACATGGGTTGGCGAAGGGGGTCTTATTCTGTACCATGTTCGCTGTGACATATGATTTAGTGGTTGAATGTTGAGCTAATAAGATAAGGGTGCAGCGTAGGGAGCCACCCACCTTACTTTTGGTATGTATCCATGAGTGGTTTTTTGTCACTATACAAGATGGACACAATTATTTTATGTGAAATTTGATACCTCTGTAAAATTAGAATTTTTTTTTTTTTTATTAATTTGAACTTGACAAGGACTCAATTTCACATCTACGGTGCATGACCTTCTTGTATCAAATGAATGTAGGCAATCTCATTCTATATTTTTTCCTTTATTGACGTAGGTGTAACGCGCTGTTTTGACCAACAGAGAGTGTGGCATGCTCCTGTGGGAGCATACTGTATGACAGTAGATGGACGGTGTACTCCCGCGGGAGTAAGAAATCTTTAGCTACATGAAAGGTGCTCAGAAAATCCATTCGCAAGAGGCGGCAGCGTTCAAAACGTGTTTAGAAGTCGAGTCTTCAAAGTTTGGACCTCACAAGAAGTTTCAAAGCCTTTGTTCGTGTGTTTTCTCTTGTATTTTTGTGCTTTTTCTTTTAGAATTTCCTCAATAAAACCTTATAAAAGTTATAATCTCAATATAGACATGCATAATTGAGAATGTAGTGGGTAATGAATAGGTTTTTGCAATATAAAGTAATGAGCTTTTTGTCACATATTGAGGAAAATAAAAGTTTCATTTTTGTCACATTTAGGGTATTTGTGTTTTTCTTTGGATGTAGAGAATTGAAGGTTAAAATTAGAACTTTAATGTTTAAATGATGAAGGATTAGGATTGAATATCGAACAGGGTTTTTTAGGCAGCAAGTTGGGTTTTTAAAATGGTTTTCTTTTATAAATATGTAGCTATTGGACTAAAAAAATAGAGACGAGAAAAGAAGAACAAATATTTTGGGTCTTGTGAAAAATATCTTTTTAGGGAGTTGTCGTTGTAGGATGAACTCCCTTGAGACTTTAAAAAATGGCATATTCTATCATATTTTTGTATTTATACTTTTTTGATTTATTTATTTTTCCCCTATTCCCTATATCAATTTGTATTAATGTCACACCCCAGGTTCTGTAATACTAACATTCATGAAGTGAGATGATCTATCGTTAACAAAATTTGAAATTTATGAATGGAAAATAAGATAGTCTTGTGCAATTTATAGAAGAAATTTCAATTTTATTAAAGATAATTTGTCACACTTCAGCGATTTTGTTAAAAATAGACTGTCGCAGTTCAAAAATGTTAATATTATAGAACCTAAGGTGTGACAATTAAAGTATAAGTTAACTATCTATGTCAATAGCAACCCGACCTTTTACAATCGAGGATATATCATCACAAATCATGGGGCTTGTGAATCAACATATTAAAGAGAGATAAATCAAGTCATAAAAGACATATGAAGCAAGATTTGTTGAATTTGCGGAGATAACAATAGAATTCGACAAGAGGATGACAAAATATATCAATAGATGTGGCCACTAAAAAGTATTGATTGTCGAGAAAAAGTAATTGTTCAGTAGATATAGCACCAAATTTTAACTTTGGGTGTGATCTCTATAAGGTTGCAACCTTAAACAATCCAATTAAAGCGCACCTCCAAATTTTATCATAACATATAATTTTGATATAATTTTTTTTTAAGATTATCTGAAAATCTATTTTAATATCTAATTGTAAATTTTAAACTCTAAAAATGGCTAAAATCAAGTAGATCTATAAAATATGAAAATATGAAAATCTTGAAAATGGATGGTCTAGATAATGTGTTGCAAGATGCACTATTTTTGGAAGTTAAAATCTTTTTTTTTTTTCATATTCGTTAATTTCGATGTCGAGATGATCAATTAGAGGATTTTTCAACAATAAAATAACCTTTTTCTATGGATTTTTCAGGTGCATATGTAATTCTACATTTTACCGTTGCAACCTTATATAAACTTTTTCTTTTAACGTTTGGGATCAAATATCCAATAAACTGGATATATGTGGTACCATGACGAGGTAAACATTAGAGTGAAAGATGTTGATAATAACTTAAATGTACCACAACATTCGATAACTAGGAATGAAGAATAAGATCAATTGAAGAAATCAGGACCGTACTTCACATCCCGGATTTCTACTACAAGTCGCACACCAAGTGAGCAAGTTAGGTTTTAGGCTGGTTTTCTTCTAGAAATACTAAACTATTGGACCATATAAAAAGAGGAGAAAAGAATAGTTTATTTTG